GAAACCATGCAACTTTTGTCTGAAACATTTTTTGATATCTCACTTCGTTTCCGAAAAATATGCCCGCGTCACTATAAATGCCGCACCCTGTATATATATATATATTATATATATTAATTATATATATATATATCCTAGCGATTATGGATTAAGGACTGTAATTTTTGCTTTTGGAAAATATAACATTCTAGAATGAGAAGAGTTTAGAGAGAATGTACAAATTCGATTATATCTGCTCAAATATATGTATCAGATATAATAAATATATAATTTAGGTTTTAATAATAATAATAATTCAGGATCGCTTCACCGGCTGGAGACGAAAATCCGAGCCAGGCTTCCAATCGTACGTATGTCTCAATCACTCGGACGAAGAGCAGAAGGTAGACATTATCAACGATACTCAATCTACAACGGCCGAGATCGAAGAAGCAGCCGAGATTTGTGCCGAAAAGGAGAATCAGATAACGAATTCATCGTCGCCGAGCGAAGCCAAAGACAATAATAACGAGCAGCAGTATGCTCCTCCGACGCAAACAGTGGAGGAGATCGTCGGCCACATTCTCATGGAAAACCAAGAATTCCAGAAACTGTTGGAGAAACAACGAACCAACAGTATCATCAATGTGCGACAGCAACGATTTAACAAGCGCATCTCTGCGGATACGTCAGACGAGAGCGACTCGGAGAACGCTAATTACATCGGCTCGATCAATCACAACAACAATAGATTGGGACGCGCTCGAGCGATGCATCGAGAACAGCGACTGATTAGGACGAACAATGCATGGAATTCATTGTCTTCGGCAACGGCAGCGCGGGAGAATCAGCAGCCGTTGCAGCTTTTTTACGACAACCTTAAGACCGTCCAAAAATCAACAGAAATGATGGCGCGGAATGGTAAGGCGAATCACGTGCAGGAGAAGCGAGCGGCCTTTGAGACGTTTAAACGACAGAGCATTGTCACCGAGAGCAAAGTGATCAAGACGGCGCTTCGTATCCGTGATAATTCGACGTCAATGGATAATGAAGAGAGCCTCGTGCCGTCCCCGTGCATGTCGAATCACCGAGCAGCCGAGTGCAAGGAGATCAACTCGATTGTAATGGCAGAACGTATTGAAAAAGACGGATCTGAACGGCGCAATGGCGAAAGAAGCGACGCGAACGACACGGAAGAAGCCAGGGGCTTTGGCAACTACGACAATTTGCAGCACGTCTGGGAGGGTCTGCAGACGGCGAAGGACGTCGACGGCGGCAACGATAGCCCGACCCAGCCCGCTGTCTGGCTCACCAAGCTTTGCGAAGGTCTGCCCACCTCGCCACCAAAGTGCGGCTCGCTACCGCGTAGCTTCCAGATAAGTCCTAACTCGCAACCAACGAGCGTGACAAAGTCGCGCTTTCTACAACGGGACGGCAAACCGATGAGTGAGCGGCCGTTTACGATAGCGTCTGACAAGCCAGCGGAGATCAATCTCGAAGACATGGAGAGATACGCGTCCACGTGTCAACCGGAGGGCAGAATCGCCAAATTTCCCATGCCCGCCACCTCGACGAGTTCCAGCTCGTCGACCTTCTTCTGCTCGCTGGAGGACACCCGATTGACCGATGACGCTTACTCCGACGTACGTATGTCCACCACGGACAGCGCGAATATTCATCCAGACCACAAGATCTACCGGGCGAACGGTAGCGGTGGCAGCGCAATTTTTCGGAACGTTCTCTTCAAAGCGAGTAGTCGTCTGCAGGGCCGTCTGAGGAATACCATGAGCACGGAAACGCTCGAGTGCAACGACGAGCTCGAACGGACGCGCTACTTTCGTTCATTGAGCGTTGCAAATGGCAAGTGTTCGAAGAGACGGACTAAACACGCGAAGCAGCACGCGAGGGAACCGTCCTCGGACGCTGAGGAGCTGGTGGGCTGCTCGAGCGTCGGCTCGATTAGCGATCAGCGGGTACCCCAGCTCTATTACAAGCAAGGCAGCTCCAGTCTGGGCGCCAGAATCGCTCAGTCAGATTACGCCGATCCAACGATCCTCTTCGCCGAGAACAAGCGCATTCAGTCTTCTTCCATTGACGTCAAACAATCATTCAGCAAGACCGACCAGTCGGAGGAGAAAGATCACGGGGAGGAAGAGGAAACGAACAGCAACAAGGACGCGGAGCGTCGCGAAAGCGAAACGGACAGCTTCTACGAGAGGAGCTTCGAGACCATCGAGAATTACGCGGATGCCGATGTGGACGAGGTGTTCCGGGACAGTGCAATATTCAGCGATGTCGACGAAGTATTCGTAATGCGGCAGTCGACGACAATGACGACGACAACTGCGGCGACGAAAGTGAAAATCGCACCGCCGATACCCGCCAAGAGAAAGCAAGAAGCGTCCTCGATGCCATTGGCGAGTTGCAAGCCGAACGTCGCACAGAAGCCAGATTACCTGAAGATAAAGTCAGTAGCGAAGGGGCACATCGTCGGTGAATTGGAAGTCAAGGTCACCGCGAGGATGAATACGATTTATCAGCCGCAAGATGATTCGCCGATTAATTATAATCGGAGCTCCGAGATTGATAGGGACGACGTCTCCGCGGGGCAGAGTCAAGCGGGTTGGGTGAGAAAGATAGTGGGTCAATTGCAGGGGCACATTGAGACGTGATCCGTACTTATATACGAATGAATAGAATTAATTGCAAGATGAGCCAATAAAAGTTTCGAGCCATATTCGACTGGTTGTGTGAATAAAAGTCAAGCAAATGTTTTTAAGTTTTATGATTTAAAGAGAGAAACAACGTTCGTGTTTTAAATTCAAGAAACTTGTTGAATTATTGATTTCGAATGAAATTGTGCAAACGGTGTTTGCGAACTTACCCCAAGTATAATTCAGGGATATTACCTAGGAAAGTATTATCTATTCTTTTGTAAGACAAAAAAACTTTGTAAAAATAGGAAATAAAAATAGATAATTTGATAGAAAGATATACAGTGAAAATACTTATGCTTTTTTTCAATCCATGATAAAATGCTCTTATTTCGAGTGAAATAAATATAAAACAAGCGAATACTTTGTGTATTCTATGAAGTATCTTGTATATCATATCAAAAACAATTTTTTTTTAACAAAATCTCGGTCGTTGATATTATAATTGCATATAAATTAAAAAAATAATTTATAAGAAAACAATAAATGTTGTTAAATAATGTCATTGTCCAAAAAATATATATAGTGGATAAGAACAGAAATATCCACATAGAGAGTAAATATGCCTATATAATATTTCCAGCGATCTCTATCTATAGAGATAATTTCCGACAAAAATAATTCTTATATTTCGACATTTTTATCCATAAATTAATAAAAGTATAATAGCATTTGCTTTGCTTTATTCATATAATCTATCATATCGAAAAGTTTAAGAGCTAATTTTAGTCAGTATGCCTTCAACATGTGCCTGGAACATAATTAACACAACGTGATACTATTACTCTATAATGAATTGATATCTCACTTAACGTTGATGTGCACGTAATAAGCACATCGACGTTCAAATGTTCATATTATATTTCATAAAAGCGTAAAAAATTACATCAATTGTTCTCAATTAATATCTACTTATAAACTGTTGAAATGTATGTTAAAATAAATATTGTTTGATATTTTACTTGTATATTAGATAGAGCATATGAGAGAGAAACAATTTTGAATTAAACGAAGCATTTAAAAGACATTTAACGTTGTATTTCCGATCGAAGAGGTCGTCAATTAAACTATAACTAGAGAATTTGAAAATGCAAGTTTCAAGCGAATTTTATTCCCAATTACATTTTTTCTACTTTTGCTTCCACGAATAAATAACTGCGATTTCGTATCAACTATGATTGAATAAATTTAAATAATTAAAACGTTGGCTAGAATAAGAGAATAGTCAGTATATAGTGTATATGCTACCATATAACGTGTATATATAGTAATATAATGTTTTATATAAAATTTGCCGCAACTATGTATTCTTCATTCTTATCTCGAGCAGAGTTGGCACTAGATATGATATTTTCAGGTAAGTACGCCTTTCTATAAATATAACGGGATGTATCAACGGGATATAATATTAATTGCAACGCCATAAATGTCTGACTATATATATATTTTTTAGATGGATTTTATTGCAGGGTCTATTTACAAAGAAGTTTGTGATTGTTCCTATAGATACATTGGTAAATTAAATACGTTTACGCATAATTATAAATTATTTTCTCACAATACTGTATTTATATAAAAAATGACTAAAATGAAGACTCGGCGAACGCAAGATATAACATATGTATATATAATACGTTATACACATTATATACAACTTCCGCGTATAATTACAGACTTAGTCACTAGTACAGTTCCAATTAATATTTATAAGGAAATCCTCTACTCTTCTCTCTCATCGGTGTATAATACGTAACTTTCGACTATAAAGAATAAATCAACGTCTAAAAAACGTCCTGTTTCGCAACGTATCTTTGTTATGGTAAATTCTTTCGAGGAGAGGGGACAGCATTACATAATACTCTTTAAATAAATAATTAAATGCACGTAACGGAGTAACACTTGGTGAGAATCTTTTCTTTTTATACAGCAGAAGCCCCTTATATTCCTAAAATCTCTCTGTATGACGTAACATTACATTTTTCTCTTTCGCTCCTCTAATTTCCGGTTGGAAGAATAATTTTGTTCGTTTGTTCTACCTGTGTCGCTACGGTTTTAATTAACAACTATTACTGATATATCGGCAATTCGTATCTTCAACATCTTCCGGCTAATTAACAAAATTATCGGAATTCACTCTATTAGACGTAGAGGCAAGCTATTAATGGTCAATGTGTACAGGTACATTTTATCGCTGTATCAATTGTCCTAGCACTTGCACGTGTACATTGCGCAAAAGGACTTTTCAAATATCGCTATTTTATTAAATATATTTGTTTATGTTTATGTATATATATATTTCTCTCTCTTTTTATCCATCTTATGTAACTTACGAATTTACCTCTCAAAATATTTTGTATATCTCTTTGCATGCAAAACGTAATGCACGTATGTTATCAATCGCCATCAGATTTTTGATCGGAAATAATAATAAGCATACATGCATGCGCTTAATCTTCTTCTATCCCTTAGATTATCGAATTGAGTGACGTTTTTCTTGAAACCAACATATTTTCCGATACTGGAAATATCAGAGATGCAATAAACTTTTTGATACCGAAGTTTATATATATTGTATCATAAAATTGTTTTCATGAGAAAATCTTTTCTTCCATGATTTTTTAATTGAATAAAAATCAGGTAAAATAATCATATAATAAAAGTAGGAATATTTATGCATAGTAAAATTGTGTAAATATTTTTTTGCATTACCGCCAGACAACATGAATGTATTAGAGTCAGTAAAGAGCATAAGAACTTCATTAATTTAATGAATAAATCCGAGGGATAGTCAAAGAATAAGGAATATAACATAACATATATTGCTGTCTCGCGTTCTCTCTATATGTTCGCCATGTAAATTTCAAAATTCAAAATAAGCGAAAAACGAAAATTCAAAGTTTGCAGCAAACCCGAGCATGCCTTTACAGCAAAATTGTGACAAGGTGTGTCCGCAAAAAGCTTAGCTTTTGCTGGCAAGGCTTGTCGCAATAGTGTGATGCACATTTTGCGCAAATAATAGAGCAAATCTTGCCGTGCACGGCATGACAGCAAATTTGTGGCAAGAACAGGACAAACCTTGCTGTGCATGGGATGACAGCAAATTTATGGCAAGAATAGGGCAAACCTTGCCATGCACGGCATGACAACAAATTTGTGGCAAGAATAGGGCAAACCTTGCCATGCACGATATGATAGCAAATTTGTAACAAGATCAGAACAAACCTTGCTGTGCATGGTATGTCAAAATTAAAGCACACCTTGTCGCAAAGCTTTGGCAAAACGTGATTTTAACATTCTTGGCTATCTGGGTATGGGTGTACAATACTCTTCGCAAACTGGACGCAACGGTTCATTACATATATATAGATTAACAATCGCATATCTCTGTATTCATTTTCTGAAATATTGAAAAATAATGAGGTTCTCTTTTTTAAATCCTTTTTTTTAATCCATTCAAACGAAAGATAAATCTCGATCTATCGCACATGCGTGTCTCTTGTTCAAAATAACCGACTTGAAGAAGAATTAATGAAAATGCGAATTTTTATCACGCATTTATTTATTTGATAATTGTATAAAATTATTGAAACAGACATTTTTCTCGATGTGTCTTACACCCATACTTTAATTTTTCTATCATTCTCTTGCGAAAATTATAAAATGAAGTTTCATTTTAAATAGTCGCGAGCAGAACATGGATATGTGAAATCTACACAAAATGTATGTGTGTCTTTCTAGTGCACATAGTTCTTCTAATACTTGGTCTGTGTCAGAGGATTAAAGACTCTCTAATTATGTCTTCTATGTTTTTTTTTCACTTTCTTTGCTAAAATTTAGATTTATAATTATCTACTCTGATTCCGCCGATGTATCTATTCTTTTTTCTTCTGTAATTCGTTCGATACGATACGGTCTGGATAAAATTATTGTCTTTACAATAATACAAAAATTCACATCAGGTAACATTGCAGTTACTATTCACCCTTATTTTTATCAAAATATCTTGTAAATATGTACGTCTCCGTAAAGAAGCAGAATAATCTCGCGTAAACAAAATCGCCTTACCGAAATAAAATAATATATCCTTCCACATATGACATTTCTAAATTTTTTAACACTTGAACAGCCTTTAGATAACTTTTCAGCTAAATTACATCTGCGTGGAATAAAGATAATTTTTCGTCTTTTTCGATATATATCACAATCTTTCTCCTTCCTTACATCAAGCAGATTTACATACTTCGTATACTAAGAGAGTTCTCTCGCTCGAATAATTCTTACAATATTAAGAAAACGGATATTGTCGGCTAAACAAATATTAAAATTACATGGTTTCATGGATATTATCAAATACTTTACCAGAAATGTTAGTATCGTAGACATTCAACACATCTGGCGTACTGCTATTAGCAAGTATGTATGGGGAAGACAATTACGTTTCTATTTATCTCTGTTTACAATGAATAAGTGTAGACTTGACATAGAATTTGATCGAATGTGGAATAAATTGACAATATAAGAGCGAAATATCAGCAAATTTTTTCGATTATTCGAAAATGCGCAGCGCAAATTCAAAATTCCGAAAAATCCAATTGCAAACTTAAATATGCGTGATATTATAATTTTTGAAAACGTTATCACTTAGATTTATACACGAGCAACTTTCGCCGCGAGACGAAAATTCAACGGAAACAATAAGACACTGATTCATAACTTTGCTAGTGTATATTTCGAATTTTTTTTCGATAGTATAATACTTTCTTTAGTAATCTACTCTCTATGTACAGAGGAAAAGGTCCATATAAAATATCAAAATAGTTCAACATTCCGCACAGATAATTTCGCATGTTTCGCTCTGACGATTCTTTACAGTTCGATTTACGTCTTTCGCCTCTCTCAGTAAAGAATTGTACTCGATAAAATATCGACGGAAATAGATGGAAAAGTGCCAGATACTATATAAATATACATATATACGAATATCAGTCCGGAGCAAATAAAATACATGTGCGTTTTTCACACGATCAATTTTCAAGAGCTTCTGATCTTCTTATGTCATGACTTATTGTTAGTATGATTGCAGTAATGAATTGTTTGACTATGATGCGTCAACGCAGACACGTTCGTGAATTAATTACGCTTTTTCACTTTAAATATCTTACGAGATACAAACTAAAAAAAATTACCGCGTCAGTGGTCTTATCAAAATATATTCGAATAAATGATTATGTTAAATTCAAGCATCAATTCTGGAAGGAGATACAAATGCAACGGCACTATATATATATAAAGAAGCGATATCTTTACTAATTAATAGTTGCGCGATTAGTGAATATTTAATAAAAATATTGGTCAAATATTCCAAATAAAAAAGGGGAATGTTTTTGGTTTAATCATTATCGATCTACAAGCATCCGCTTATAGATGCATCGAATAGATTTCAGCAAATATGTTCCGAGATAATTCGTACATCTATACAAACGAAACCTCTCGTTAAAATAAACGACGTTGACGATACTCGAGAGTTGCAAATTTCGACTGCGTAAACGTAAAACACAGTCAATTTTTCCTCCCGTCTAAATCCTACGTAATCCAGCACTCTTCCTCATCAAGGATTATAGAAAGTCTACTGTAAACGAGAAAATATATTTCTCCCAGTCTTGAGACCGATCACATGAAAGTTATATTGCGCTCGTCGCTTCACAGATATATACGATAATATCGTCGTTGACGACATACCCGATAAAAAAATTACTGCGCATAAAAAAACTGTTGCAGACAGATATATGTGCTCGTGATCTCTGATGCAAATTATATATGCGACCGATCTATACGGAGAGAAGTTCCCGAACGATGAAAATCGTAAAAAAAAAAAAAAAAATTTTATCCTTCTCTTCTCATTTTATTTTGTTCGCGTGCTTTTTTCCCGTCACATATATCACAATAGCGCTTCATCAGAAAGCACTGTATGATTTAATAAAAAAAACATTAGATTATTTCGTAAAACGAAAGAATAAATATCGGGGATTATTGCGCGCAAATCAAGGCTGATCATGAGCCAACGATCGCAGATACTTTATTACAATCGCGATCAATATCGTACAGCAAGCAAAACGATTCAAACATAGCAACGCGTGTATATTTCAAGATAAATTCGCGCGTTCACTATCGATGACATTGTCGTGCAATTTATATATTTAATATCGCCGAAAAATTAGAGACATCGCGAGACGTATGCGATGTCTGAATAAAGATAGCTCTCTCGAAGTGTGATCCCATGCCCAACGAAATGAAGCTCGAATAGTATAATTTTTCGTGCGTACATACATTCTCAAGGACGACACATTGGTACAAGTGAATTTTGTACTGCTTACATGTGTGTACATATAATATATGTGTACACGATATTATATGAAATTCACAGAGAAAATTCATTTCTACGCGGAATCTTTCGAGAACGTTTTTACGGAGCGTTATACATCAATTAGCTACTTTCCTTCTATGTCGTTGCCGTTTTCTCTATTATCTATCGTCTTTGGAAGAAAATACAGTAGCGTCCCGCTTCCACCAGATCAGATTTGAATGATAGGCTCGCTAATTCGGAATCATCTTTTCCTCAACAAAGATTTTCTTTTTTGAAGCGCCGTTTTTGGCAGTTAGAAATAACGAAAAATGAAATCTTTATTTTATTTAATTCACCTAAAACTGATTAAAAAACATCGTTCATTCAATTCATTCAATCTTTGCAATTTTGTATTTATATGTAGAAGTGTAGTTAATATCGAGAAAATGGAAAGGCTATAAAAAATAATGTGCATTCTTTTCAAATGTGTCAAAAGATCGGTCACTGAAATTCGAATCTCGTGAAAGTGAGACGACGAAGATATATTAAGTTGTAATCTCGATTAATGTCACACAAATTCCGTCAAAGTTACATGAAAATTCCATCGGATATTGCATCTGGATGCAGCAAATAGCACTTTAACCTTCGAAAACTTTACGCGACCATATGTGTGTAAGAATATAAATATTGTCTCGTCTAGAGAATAATGTCCCGCACTCGTCGAAAATACAAATACGAGAATTCTTATCCTATTAAATCGCTATTACGATCAAAATGGTTCTCGAAGGCTAAGAGCTAATAAGAATATAGCGCGACTCTAGGAAAAAAAAGATAAAATCCGAAACTGTACCATTTGCACAGCATAGCTAGAGCTTCGTTGCTTGTAAAACACGCTGCGCAACAATGTACTCTTGTATTATATATTCTAGCTAATTTAGCTATATATAACGTCGGAAACACGGAATAATCTCCAATTACTTTTACAGTTTCCGAGGTTTTAATTTCATCATAAATCTCTTTTCTCGTAATTGTACATGATTTATATGTATAAGTGTAATTTATACACATGTATAGCTATATAAACTAGGAAATTGCTTTTATCCGATATATCTTTCCAAGCAATACGGTTTTTATTGGCTTCATTTAATCAGGCATAAGAATAAGTTCCGCGTACATATTTTCTCTCTCTTAAGTTTGGTGTCTTTCTGTTAAACTCAAAATCTCTTCCTATCATAGTGCGTATCTACTGAAACAACTATCTAAGTTTTAAGACGCCTCTCGTTAAAAAAAATTACCACGAATAAATGATCAGTTTACGCGGTATCGACTACTATTAGAGAGATGGCGGTAACCCATTGCAGCAATGTTGGAATTGCACATTGCAAAGTAGTGAAAATAATTAATTGTAAAGCTTTTACCTCTCTGCATATTTTTTCTCACCGCTCTTTCGTAGTCGCATTCCACGTTACACGTGCAGTTCAATCACAAATCGTGCGAGACGATAATGCAGCGTGTGGTCGCAAGCTAGCAATTTAAAAATCGATACTTAATAGCTGGCCTCGTGTCCAGCGAGTATGTAGAGATCCGCCCCTTCCGATTCAGTCAATGTGCCACTGTGAACCAGATGACTCTCCAACATCACAACCCTATTTAATACATAATCAATAGTCAATCTTATTTTCTCTTTAATTACAAGTGTTAATCTAATTTATATTTAATTATAAATATTAATAAAAATTCTATAGATATACCGCATTTAAAAAAATTCTAAAATAGTATGTATATACAGGGTGTCCCACCAAAAGTGGCCACCCCCTTTTTTCTTTTAAACTAAAAGAGATAGACCATAACTAATATATATCAAATTAAATGATTCAAACTGAACTCTATCGTGAGCATAGTGGCTGCTTCTAAAAGCTATCTTTTGTTAACGAACAGAGAGATATGCATAATTTTTTTATAATAATGTGAATATTTCGATATGATAAAAGTTATAACACTATTTGAAACCAATACAACAATATATGATATAATGTAATTATTTTATATATTATATGAGTTTTATTGACTTGAAATATTGCGGGCGACGTCTACCTTTTCACGTTCTGCCCTGTATTATGGCCAACTTCTGACTCGTCTATTAGAGATTGACATATGTCATGTTGTCATTTGATTATAATACTCAATCCGAAGTTGGCTGAATCACAGGGCCGAATATTTCAAGTTGATAAAACTTGTATAAATAATATGTAAAATATTTACATTATATCATACATTGTTGTGTTCATTTCTTTAATAAAATTAAATATCTTTTTTGATATATAAAATATCTCTAAAAGAGATAAAAATTGTTATTACCAAATCAATTTTGAGATTATGAGACTTAATATGTATCAATATCAAACAATGTAGAAACTTAACAAAAAAGTTTCATAAATTTATTATTTTTAGATCGCAATTGAAATTCCAATAAAAAAAAAGATTCGAAAAAATATCAAATCTCATTAATACTTTTTTAATTATTCTTCTCAAAACGCTTCTACTGTATTAACATGTGCATCATCTTCTCAAATCTTTTATATCATCAGATACGTACTTGTCTGAGCCTAGTAGCCTGTAAGTCCTGCTTGGATCACTAATCTCTTGAGTAACTTCGCCATTCTTGAAACTTCTACCTTGCATACCGTGTTTGTGGAATGCCAGTACACTATCTGGTAGACAAACTGAAAATAAACCACACATTGTTTTATTCACAAAGACTATGGTATGAATTGTGAGTGATCAAGTGTTTCGTGCTTACTGATAGACTCAATCTGAAAATTAAACTGCAGCTCTGACAGCTGTTTCTTGCTAACCCGGGGTTTCCCTTGTAATGTCACCATCTTCACTACATCTTCAAATACAAATATTTCATTTATAACATATTATTGCATGTGATAATAAGATATACTTCTAGTAATACTCACTATCGTAACAAACGAGTATTGCATCTTTCTCAAATTGTGTGACATTAATAACATTCAAATTTTCTCTTCTTGGTATCACAGTCGCTGAAACAGTATTCTTATTAAAGAAGGGATAATAGTTCTTCCAAAAAATAAAGATTGAATAATCAGGTTTTTAAAGATGAACAGAAAATCAGTTGCAAATATCTTTTTGTATAAGAAAATAATAAAAATGAGGTTAATAGAGGCTATCATATCATTTGTAAACAAGTAAATCTTGTCAGACATATGACATAAAAATACCTGAACCATCCATATCTTCTAATTCGTCACTGTGGAACCAACTCGCTCCTGAATTCATATTAATCAAATCCAGTTTCAGTTTATTCTGCTGATATGGCTGCTTAACCGATACACACACCATTGGATATTCCATCTCAGGTGTGATAACCATTTTAAAGACGTTTAGAGGCGACGGTAGAACGCATTCGAAATGCTTTAGAAGCATAAATTTATTCAATGGATCGTACCATTGCATTAGAAATATACCAGCCGGCATCGCTCCGCACAGATATTTGTATCTATATGTTTAAAAAGATAGATTATGTTTGTTAAATTTTATTTAACTGACAAGCGTGAAAATATAACGAATCATTATATATCCAATTTTTTCTCGTATGAAGACTACTTCAATTTATTTATGTTCTTATTTCGTCAGAGTTATACTTTGTATATTTTACGAAAAACGTATGATAATGCAGTTTCCGCTCACCCATTATATGGATTCCTTCCAACGCAGCATTTGGTACATCCCTTTGTGTCCGGTACCTTTGTAGTGAGAGCAAATTTCCTAGGGACTAATCTCTCTGGTATTTTATTCATGTGTAACGAAAACCTATGAGTCTGTTTACTTAGCATCGCTAATAAGTCATGCCTGTACAATTGAGGTGTCTTTCCTACAATATACATCACTAATATTATTCAGAGAATACAAATTAATCAATCATGCAGCAGCATCAATGATGACAATACAACATAAGCTTACCGGAAAGGGACATGAGAACATCTTTAATAACATACATCCAGATAGTACGTCTCGGATATAATTGGTCTATTGCAGTTTCATGGAGCTCGTTCAAGTTCAAGTTGTAAATTCCTTCTTCCGCCGCAATCAACAAGTGTTGATCCCTCGTATCCGGATGAATCCAACTCGCGGTACAGTGTATTCTCAATGGACAGCCATTAAATACCTATTAAAATTTGCAATAAAAATAAGATAATAAATAAGACTTTAATTTGTGTGTCGAGAAATAATGCAGTAAAAGAAACATTTTCATATATTAAAATATATAACGAATAATATAATAATGAATCAAAAAATTATATATATATATATATGTTAATCAATAAGCCTTTTGTAAGCTAACCTTTGAGAAACATGCTCCCATATGCACTTTCGGTGTGGGAGGTAATCCGTTACTAATAGGCCTCGGTGGAGTGTGTCTTTTTCGATCCCTCCTTCTCGGAGGGACGGGCGGTGTATCCGAAAGTAAGTCGGGACTCATACTCTCCCTATCTCGGTCAGCTGCTATCTCATTATCGCCTGAAAAAAAATTATGAGATAAATAATAAAATAAATAAATTAAGAAAATTAAAAGATTGAATGAAATATATATATATATATATATATAAAATTATATATTAATATCGATAATATCTCAAGATATCAGGTTTTTTTCAAATAGAGAAGATGAATAATAAATGTATTATGTGCATTGTGCGAATATATTTACATTACTTAAAGCATTAAATTCACGGTGTACGCTCTTACCGTTCGACTGCGCAGATTCGTCTCTAGGGCCACTATCCGACAATGATCGTTGACGTTGACCGTTCACAGTTGTTAGGGACTGAGAATTGTTGACGAGACCGTATAATTCGTCCACAGAGCTGTGACGTCGGGGACTTGCCTGAGACCCTGTGCACACGAATCTACTCTTTATTATCCGCACACGCAAATAAATTTAAAGGAAATAGTTTGACATATTATATGCGATCAAATTTTTTTATCAATCTGCAATATAAATCACTTACCAGATACGTTGTAATAGGGACAATGGACTTCGCAATCGTTCGATGATTCCCCGAGTGGAAGAGTGGCTCTAAAAAAAAAAAAGAACGGAAATGTTACGATTGTATTTTCTTCAAAAGCGTTTTTCATTATGAAAGAGGAGAAATAAATGTTTGTTAATAGAGAACAAATAACATGTAAAAAAATAAAGAGTATACATTAATCGTAAATTATAAAATTATTAATTAGGATCGTATATTTCTCTTGAAATATATACGTGGCTTAACAGATTTTCGAATAAAATGTGATGCAAAAACAAGTTAGAGATGTGAAAGCTGCATATTTCTTGCAGATTTTAGTACGTCACAAAACAATCGTGTTATCAAAGTGTTAACAAGATCAATCGTGAGGCCTATTCTGGTGTTATGTAATACAGAATGAATTTTTTTGACAAATATTGTCAGTTGAACAAATCGTAGGCAAAAACAGCCATGAAATATTCCCCGTAATAAATCAATCATATTTTACCTTTCTCTCACATCGGTATCATTTATAAAGAAATTAAATCATTTGTAAGGAATATTAAAAAAAAAAAAAAAAATATTTAAAAGTATATATCAATAAAATAATCAGACGAATAAAAATATATATAATCAAATAAATATTTGACACTTTCATGATAATATATCAACTGAACAAGATATGTGTTGGACAATAAAAAAATTATTTACTGTAATTTATTTTATCTACTTACTGCAGGGAATATAGCTGGTCGCAATGCCCATCGACCATCGATATTGCATTTCCCCTGCACACATGAAACTATGGTAATATACTATAAAAATTATAAACTTGTTTCTTGATACTGCTCGAGATATTCTGCGCAATGCGCTTTGAAGTCTTGTAAACAATGTATACGTAATAAAATGCGAAAATATAAGATGATTGATAAAGTAATAATAGACTAATACTATTTCTCCTTTTTAGATACATTGTATGGTTATATCGAAAATTATTGCGCGATGATTAAATAGAATTTAATATGCATCTCTTTCTTATTTAAATATCAATAGTTTTTATTCACAAGATATAATATAAAGAATTCCAAGAGAGATAAAATTCCATAGAAATTGTAATTTCTCACAATTCCTCGGTTTTTGTAAATTCGTTTCAAATCTTCAGCATGAAATAAGTAATCTTTCTTATTATTTTGATTTGTCAATTTTGATATTAGATTCGTATTTTGTTATCTGGAAAACTTTTAAGTTTGTGTATGAATAAAGATACTGAAAAAAATGTTTGATAGATTCTCAATGACCTAATTCATATGTTTTTCCCCGATAGATCCCATATTTATAATCATAAATATTTGATTAATTATAATCAATACAACAATTTTTTTTGAGGATTAAAAAGTTCCATATATATAACGTTCTTACTTTTAATTGTAATAATCCTCCTTCAACACATTATCTATAATAGCTCTAACACAACAACTTTAACCATAAATTTCTCAAAATTACGAAATACAGAACAATTTAAAGGCCAAGTTACATTTAACGTCAAAAAACTACAGAAAATGGTCATCCTCTTTCTTGTGTTAAAAAAAAAAGTTATTTTTTTGTTGAACTGTGTTATTATAGACTTAAAAGAGGTAATCTTATATGATAAAACACGTAAAACTTTAATTATAGATAAACTAGCATCTCTCTTTTTCTCTCTCTCTCCGTATTATAGATACAGAGACTTCCCCACCAGCATGGTTGATATATTTTAAAAACAACTTTAGTGTGTCAAGATGATTGAAAAAAACTAACATGCAACAAATAACATCGAATGCATAACACAGGAAGGAAGCATAAGTCTACATTTATCTAAAATTTGTGTTTGTAATATGTTAATATTATTCTAATTACGACTCGAATTATATAATATTTTAATCACTTTGTCTTTTAGTTATATATTAAAAAATTATTATATTAATCATATATATATAAATTTTTATAGATATCTCTTTTTTATCATTTTTTAGTACATTTAGCTAAACTACTAGTCGGAAATTACAGAGAGTAATTTCAAAGGAGTCTTTTAAAACTAACACAAAACCGAAAGCGAAATGCGTGTGAATTCGAAGTATAATGTTTGCAATAAAAGAAAAAGATACAAAAAAAAAACGTAAGCGAATAACTGTCCGAGTAATGCAATTTACAGAATGATTACGCAGTTATTAGGAGATATAAGTGCAAGGTGCAAGGTGCAAGGGAAAAGGGTTACCTGCCAATACCTTAGCAACAACTCCTCATCAATGTACTGCAATAGACTCCTGTTGGGAGAAATTATTAAAATTACAAACTGATCAGAAAAATCAAAAAATATATTAAAAAAGAATAATTGAAAATGTAGATTACAAAACGAAATTTGGGGCGTGGGGCAGATGTGCTACAGGAGTAAGGACTAATAGTGACAGGATACAAATATTATTTTACGACCGAATATGTTATGTTGTTAAAATATAACGAAGATACTCGGGTAATCTCTATTTACGTACGAATCAAATGGTATTTTTAGAAAGTCTTTTTTTTGTTAGATATTTTCTCCAGATGAAAAAATGCATGACTTTAGCTTTCAGAATAACTAATTCTAATAGATAAAACCGCGATGTTATATGTTGGTGTATATACAAATATATCTCAAAAAGTAATCGTACTTACTTTAATGAAATGCATGTACGACATATCAGCAATCCTTTGACAAATTTTCTATCAAATCATGCATACAAGCAATCGTGTCTATCGCCTAACATGCAAAAAGTAGTGTACTGTAATTTCGTATATACACAATACATTGTTAAATCTCTGTCCCGCCGAGATGTGTCTGTATAATTATCTCATATATAATTGTCTTTTTATAAAATATAAAAAAATTTGATTACGTATACGTGGTTAAAAAGTATTGTTAACTCTATTCAAACAATTCTTATATTTAATTTGTATGTTTTTTAAGACCACTTTGGCATAGAAAAATTTTTATGTTACATTACAATTACAACTTGGATTGCTTTAATGTTACTCGGTGACAAACCGATCAAAACTTTTTAAACATTTACAGTATTAAGGGAATATGAATAGCATGTAATTTGTGTTGATAAGGCTACATATCATTGTTATGTTAAAGATAGAAAGGAATTTTTTCACTCCAGACACCAACCGGGGAAATTGTTTATATTACCTTATAGTCATACGAAATATCTCTGTGCCAGTTTTGCTACGACGTTTCGATATTTTACTTGTCTTAAGGTTCGCGCCAAGTGTACTGACAAAAAATGAGCATGTCTTTAAGAAATATGCTGATAATAAATGTAAGACAAAATGTGTGGCTCAATTATAGGCATATTTAAAGCGATATTCGGTGGCGATATTCCTTGCCAAAAATTAAAACGACTTTTCTCTAATAAAAATGTTAGGATATAAGTAATTGGAAAATTGCGGTAGATTAAAGAAGAACAACTCTTGAAATTAGAATTGCACTTTGAATGTTTCAGAGAAAAGGTATTTAATAAGAAAACTTTATTCTCTCCAACTGATTTCAGTCAAGCCCTAGCTTAAATTGAAAAGGCATTGTTATCGAGATGTATAATATTAAAACTTCAGTGAGACTATGAAAATATGTTTTGTATATATGTGTGACGTTACATTACATTTTAATATAGAGAGAAAAAAATGATTTCATTTTTTTTCAATAAGGAATTTCGCCAACGAAAATTAATTCACGGAAATTGTTTTTTATCGATTTTTTGGATAATTCAAATACTTTTTATTTACGGTCAAAATCGAAAAAAAAATAGGATTAAAAAAATAACGATTGGAGATGCGAAAATTACAAAGAATAAATCCCTGTAATATCCATAAAGATTTTGTAATATATGATTATATATATAATAATCGTCTAGTTTGTTTTATAAGAGTTTTCTCTCTACCTATGTTAGGATATTTCAGAATATGATGTGCTGCTGTTTTAGGTGTAAGAGTAATGAATGTACATTTTTCTCTCTTTCGAGATTATGATTTGAAAGTATGACATGATAAGCAAAAGCACATGCCATATGCAATGTACATATTAGTTACTATCAGCCAAGAATAAAATGTTGGTGATTCTTATAATACAGCATACTGCATTGCTATCTTGTTTAATAATATATGACGATTGCATTTGGCTCTCGCAACTTACTAATCTTTATAATTGTTATGTGTATATAGAAGATTAAGACATAATACATATTGCAAAATCAAGATACACATATATATATGAAACTGTAAAATCTTTTTACAACATCAAACATTTCAGAAATCCTATTCCAGTTATTTATAAAATATATATTTACAACATGAAAATATTCTTGACAAAACAAAACAGCAACTACCATATTAATGAAAGTGATAGACAAGCTTTCATGTTTTCAATGTTCCCTTCCGCGCAGAATGTGTGCGATGAAAATCGATAGAATAAAAGTACAAAACAACTTACTTTTCTTGCTCTTCAAACGCAGAACCAATCCCACAGTCTGGATGTACATCGCAATTATGCACAGCCTGTATACGCACAAATATGCAGATTAGATTTTTTCATTGTCATAAATCGCACTCTTTCATTAATTATTTATAATATACTGAATTATTTAATACAAATTGATAATTTGACATAAATACCGAATTAATCATTGTAATATTGGAAAAATATTTACGCTATTGTAACTCTTGTTTTCATTAATAATATGTTCAATAAATTATGATATGATATATAATTATAAGCAGAGCAAATAATTGCAATAAACTTACTTTGACATTATTCATGATATCTATGATATCCCATGCTGGATTACTGTCCACAGATGGTGATATGGAGTCTCTGTGTAATACTCCATCAATGTTGATCTGATCTGCAGAATAAATTATAATCACGATTATAAGTTAAACTGTAAGATATACAGTTCATTGGTTATTATTTAATTACTATTAATCGATTCTTACCATCACTATCCAATTGTGATATGGGACTCTTTGGCCTAGGCCTTGCAGTATGACGCGAGGCTATTCTTTGCGGAACATTGGGCACTGCCCCGTCTTCGTCGGCCTCTAAATCGGCAAACATATGACTGGGATTCGACACCTTTTGCAATAATTCTAACGCCAGTCTTTTATGCATCTCCCCTTGGAAAAACGCGTGCTGCAACATTCAAAATAATTTCCTTCAGATTAGGATCGATGCAATTGCAGTTTGGCAGATATATTTTTCTTTTTTTTTCACCACACATACAAAGACAAATTGCATCTATCAGTGATAAAACAAGACAAACCTGAAGCAACTTCTCCGCCGTCGGTCTTTTCTTGGGATTCTTCGTGAGTGCGACTTTGACGAAATTGTGAAACGTTGGACTCCATTTATCGCGATCCTTTAACGTCGGTGGTTTAAAGCCCGACTTGGACATGAGAAACAAAGCGCGCATTGGATGCAGATCAAACATCGGCGGCTGCAACTCCGCCAATTCTATCGCGGTTATTCCGCACGCCCAAATATCGCACAACTGATTATAACCACCTTTCCTTTCCACAGCTGCTACCTGCACAATACAAAAATATTAATTGTAATTATCTTCAATGTAACTCTGTAAAACACATTAAATATTAGAAGAAAATGCAAAAGTACCTCAGGTGCCATCCAATATGGTGTACCAATAAAACTCTTTCTCTTGTTAATTGTCGCAGTAATTTGTGCTGACACGCCAAAGTCTGCCAGTTTTACATCACCTGCCTCAGTCAATAATATATTGGCACCCTTAATATCACGATGCATCTTGCCCATACTATGTAAGTAAGCTAAACCAGTTAGAGTCTCCCGACACATGTACGCTATTTGTATTTCTGATAATGGTCCGGTTACTAAAAGTATATTAAAAATATAATTATATATATGTATTATAACCAAAAAATAATTATCACAAAAATGTTAATTTATAAATCACTATAAATTTATATTCTTCTTCTTATAAACGTGAATTAAATATTATTAATTGTTGAAATTGTGTTAAAGATATATATTATTCCTTTTAATATGTATAAACACTAAATAATAAATATTATACATACTATGATATATATCCTGCAATGATCCACCTCCGCAATATTCCATACATATCCATAATTTGTCTCTCCTTAAATAACTGCCATAATATGCAATAATATTTGGATGCCTACAGTCCTTCATCATTAAAATCTCCTGTTGAATGATTGCAAAGTCATCACCTAAAAGACAAACACAAATACTATAAACTGCTTCATAATTCTATGATAAAATTTGTAACAGCTTGATGTTTGTATTTTGAGAACCAATTACACATAGATTTGAACATCTGGACAAATAAAGCAATTTGTCCTTTTTATTTTTACTTTATACACTTTATATAAGGAATCATAATAACACTTCATGGAAAAAGCATTCCATACCAAAGAGAAAAATCGACGAACAATCGCACAGAAAAGTCCATTGCGATAACACGATAATCGTATAATAAATAAAACACTTTGCGCTTACCTGGCTCCAACTTGATAACCTTAATCGCTGCGAGGTCGTTCATGGATAATCGTTTAGCCTGCGAAAAGGGAATATAATAATTGATCTCGTTATCGTTGACAGAATCAAGAGAAGATACATACCTTGTAGACATCGCCGTAGGTCCCGCTGCCTATTCTCTGGATGAGCTCGTACTCGTCCTGGGGATTCCTACGGCTTATGTCACTGGACAGCGCGTTCGCGTTCACCGTAGCCATCGCAGGCGCAGCGAAGAGATTGACAAGGAAGAAAATAGAGAAGCGAGACACCTGGTGCTGCGCGCCAGGACGTGACTCTCAGCCACCGCGACGTGATGCGCGTGTACGTGCAACCGGACGACGCAACGGGAACATTTAGCCCGTCGGGATGTCACACCATCCGTCGAATCGTCGCCATTGTCCACACAACAGCTGAACTGCTCTGACATTGGCCGCGGATTCGTTCGTGACGTCATAGATTATCTCGACCATAGACATAGTATATCTAGACCGAGTGTTGAGGAGTGGGAGCCGAGGTACACGTAGAAAAGGACATAGCTCTGTACCGTGTCCCTTGCGTTCTCTCTCACGCGCATGTAGCATAGCGAAAGAGTACGCTATGCTACGTGCGAGCGAGAGAGAACGCAAGGGGCACGAAACAGAGTATGTCCTTTTCTACGTGCATCTTTACCCCCACTCCTTAAATAAAGGCAAACGCTCGGTCTAGATATACTATGTCTATGGTCTATGATCTCGACTAACAAACACAAAGTACGAATAACCTAGACCAGAGATCCTCGGGTTAAAATTTCTGAACGTTGCTCGACCTTTTACTGATTGGCTGAGATCACTGATCTATATATCTGGATTGATGATAGGCCTCCTGGCGATGTACCTAATTGAAGGTCCGCCATTTTACACGCCCGAGGTGCGCGCATGCGTGGTGGTGCTCTATGGCCGGTATTTATAGTCAGTTCTTATATTTAAGACCGTCTTAAGCACAATCTTAAGATGTCCTAAACCAATCACAGAGCCGTATTAGCATCTTAGGACATTACTTAAGACGGTCTTGAAATAAGAGCTGACTATGGCCGGTATTCATAGTCAGTTCTTATTTCAAGACCGTCTTAAGTAATGTCTTAAGATGCTAATACGGCTCTGTGATTGGTTTAGGACATCTTAAGATTTTGCTTAAGTGCCGGTCTACAATAGGTGATTTAAGCCTTAAACCTTAAGAAATTGACCAATCATAGCCAAGTATGAAGAGAATACTCGACTGTGATTAGTCAATTTCTTAAGGCTTAGGGCTTAAATCATCTATTGTAAATCCGGACTAAGACGGTCTTAAATATAAGAACTGACTATGAATACCGGCCTATGAATACCGGCCTAAGTGATACCAATAATTGCAGGACCTACATGAAGCTAGCCGGAAGAAATTATTAAATATGATTCTTTTTAATTTTTCTGGATGTATTTCGTTTGTAAATCGTTTGTGATTGATTGTGAGTCTGTTTTTAACGTTTGTGACAAATTAGGTTTTTTGTAATTAGCAATTTTAGTTTGATCATGATGTTAGCCAGAACTTTTTAGTAACAAACAGATTTTGTGATAACTGATAACTGTAATTGATAGGAAATCGTTTGTGATTTACAAATAAACCAATGTTACATTTGTGAATTGATAAATTTTTTAATTACATGCAAAATAAGTTTTTTTATAATTGTAGTGCGCATATGTAATAAAATAATAACTGGATGAAGTAAAATAACCGTATGAATTAAATAATTCGTGTAATTATCTTCGATCTAATCAAACGGCCGGTAATGTCAACATTCTTCAATTACCTCCGGGCCCACTTGATGGTCACAAAAGTTTATCCAGGGCTGACGATCTTTAATAATATCTCGTCGGTGATATCGCTTAATAAACTTTTTAACAGTTTTTTCAACTTTTAACTTTCTTTTTAACTTTGTAACAGTTACACACAAAAAGAAAGGTCCAACTATGGTAATATTCTCTATATTTGCAAATATTTTATTTATAAGACCCACAAAAAATGATTAAGAAATTGTAAATATTAAAAAATAATCCAAAATTCCTCAAATCATGACAAGTTGATTGTATTATCGCAATTAAAACGTATGATAGGAATCTTTATTGAATAAATAAAGAATTATATTGTCTTATTAAATAAACATAAAATCTTTTAATATTTTGGTCTATTTTATGATCTGTTTCATCATTTAATCCTGATTTTTTAAATTAATAACAGCAAAAATGTTACGTAAACGTAAGTTTCAGTTACAGCACCGACGAGATATTATTAAAGACCGTCAGCTCTGGGTGTTATATAAAAGATCTATACATTTTTGATAATAAAACAATAACTGGATGAACTAAAATAACGCGTAGCAAGTTTTTTTTCCAGTCACACTAAATCACACCATAAGACCACCGGTCTTTAATGATATCTCGTCGGTGGTTACAGTCTTAGGCCGATATTACATTTGTCGTACGACAAACTTTTTAAGCGCATTGATTAGCTAATTTCTAGAGACTCAAGAAAGTTTCTATTTTGCAGCCAATCAATATGCTTAAAAAGTTTGTCGTACGACAAATGTAATATCGGCCTTACATAGACCGTGGTTTTAGTCATTTGAATTTCCCACGCTCGGAGACAAATTGCCGGGTAAGATGGCGGCGTCCATTTGGGGACGCTTTTGAGTCCTAAGAACGAAGGCGATCGGCAATCCAGATGTATAGTGGTTACGGACAATACCGAGCGTTCACAAAAGTTGGCGAAAAGTACCGAATGAGAATAAAGAAATCTTTGCTCTTCTTTTGTCCTAGGGGTTGATTGTATCTTCAAACGATGGGCGCTTTCCAGCAAGGTACACAGATGACACAATGTACTACACATTATCACGCGATTGGCTATCAAATACAGAATTTTAAATTTTTTCATTTCACAGCCAATCATGTGATAATGTGTAATACACTGTGTCATCTATGTACCTTGCTGGAAAACGCCCGATGTGAAAATTACAAAAGTGAGTAAATTCACTGGAGTATCTACGATGTCATTTGTCGAAATCTAGTAAATCTGTTCACTTTTGTAATTTTTACTTTGGGCGTTTTCCAGCAAAGTACACAGATGACACAGTGTATTACACATTATCACATGATTGGCTGTCAAATAAAAAAAATTTAAATATAGCCAATCGCGTGATAATGTGTAGTACACTGTGTCGTCTGTGTACCTTGCTGGAAAAGCGGCTCACGGCTCAGCAATGGAAGGGGTAACGCACACAAGCGCGAGCCGCGTACATGTGGCACATGTACGCGGTTCGCGCTTGTGTGCGTTACCCCTTCCATTGCTGAGCCGTGAGCCGCGGGACCTGTTTCTGGCATCACTGCACTCGACGTTGATTTGGTTTAGTGCCGGTCTACAATAGGTGATTTAAGTTCTAAAGGCCCTTTAATTTTTACTTTGGGCGTTTTCCAGCAAAGTACACAGATGACACAGTGTATTACACATTATCACATGATTGGCTGTCAAATAAAAAAAATTTAAATATAGCCAATCGCGTGATAATGTGTAGTACACTGTGTCGTCTGTGTACCTTGCTGGAAAATGCTCTTTGTTTCAAAGATACACAATCGAACCCCTGATGATTCATTGAGCACGTTCAGGAAACACAACTGTTGAGCATTGTCTTGTCAACCCTCGACCAGTGATGCCAGAAACAAGTCCCGCGGCTCACGGCTCAGCAATACTGGACCAATGAGCATCGAAATAAAATCGCCATATTGATTTACATAGCATGCTCATTGGTCCAGATGGTCTTATGCTATGCATATGCAGGGCTGCGTTCGAGAATGTCACCCGTGTGCACCGAGCATTGTTCTATCTTTGTTATTTACTGAAAGTTGAACAAAGATAGAATGACGCTCGTGTGCACACGGGTGATGTTCTCGAACGCGGCCCAGCTATGTCAATTTGTGTGTGAGGGCATTTAGCCTTAAGAAATTGACTAATCACAGTCGAGTATTCTTCTCATACATGAATGTGATTGGTCAATTTCTTAAGGCTTAGGGCTTAAATCATCTATTGTAGACCGGCACTTAAAAGTAAGAACCAATCACTTTCGATTGCTACTCAATGGTTGTATCTCCTGAACACACCCATTGACAGGTAGATTTTCGAACGTAACCGTAGTTGACTTAATTCAAGCAAGAGGTTAAGTTATCGACTCTGAATTTTATAGTTAAAGAATAGTTTGTTTCTGATTATCAAACAATTATGTCTGTTTTCACACGTTATTTACATTTCCGACGTTTCGGGATTGGTATAAGTAACAATGCCGCTGTTTTGTTTTCGGATGCTGCACAATATTCGGTAGGTTCGAAGTGAAAATAAACAAAGAGATTTCGTAGGCCTAAATTGTTAAGCTATTAATCCAATCCGGATTTTTTTATTCTATTCATGTTCAATTATTTTGTGTATTGTATATATTAATTATTTTATATTTTTAGAATTATAAACAACATATTAAATCACGATCATATGCAACATCTAGTGATGAAATCAACAACATATTGAAGACTGAAGAGAAGAAACCAGCAAAGAAGATAAGCAAAGCTATGTTGATGTACTTGCAACGTGCGAAAGAGCATGGTAGTAACTTATCTGTTTTCTTTTTCATGCATCAATAACATTTTAATAATAACTCTAATAATATTAACACTTTATATAAAAGATATTGTATAAATTTTTTATTTACATTTACCAGATGAATTCATGAAGAAAGAGATTGTAGAATACAAAGTAGGAAAACGACACCTAGCTAATATGATGGGTGAAGATCCAGATTTCTTTACACAAGCAGATATAGATGTATGTATATATCTGTATGAAAAACTATTGGTAATTTACGGAAAATATCTAAGTAATTCATATAATCATTATTTTTAGAGATCAATTGAGTATTTGTTTCCATCAGGATTGTACGATCCTAAAGCTCGACCAATGATGCGACACCCAGAAGAGATTTTTCCAAGCAAGAAAGCAGCAGAGTTTGATGAATCTGGAAGACCTTTTCATTCTATGTTTTATACCTCTAAAGCAAATTATTATCAAACGCTATATGTAAGTTTTTATAGTAACTTTTACAAAAATATAAAAGAGAGCAATTTAACACTTGGAAAAATTATTTTTGTATATAGGATATTATGGAGAAAATCAAATCTCTGAATGATATTGAAGATTCATTAATAAAACAAGGAACATTACCTATGGATAAAATGTACGTTGAATATTAATAATTTATACATAAAATGAATATATACACTACAATTGGTATATAATTTTAGAAATTTTATTATGTATATATTAAGCATATATAATTACTTTTCAAGATTGTATATAATATTAGTTATATATTTTTAGTAATCTGATAGGTTCCGAATGGTTATCAAAAAAAGATACTGAGAACCAGCTACTTGAAAATATTATAGATTTGGAGGTAAATAGTAATATCAATAATAATGCTGAAGTTTGTGCAATATTTTACAAAGAAACGCATGATTTAACTCATAAGTGTAATAATTTTTTCAGTACACTTATCTTGTAACATCACTAGAGCGATTATGTGATCATCCACTATCAAAGCGTGCAACAGATTTTATTATGAAGTATCGTAAAGTACTTATTAGTCATTCCAATGAGATAACCGTGCCACCTGTAAGTTATATATAACAATGACAAGGAAAAATATAATTATGATTAATGCAGAGAATTATTTTTATATGTACAGTTGGAACATGACAGCACAGGAAGGCCATATATCAAAGTCAAAAGTAAGTAAATAATCTTAACATTAGCAAATGACTAGAAAATAATATCATTAAATTCATTATAATTTTAGATTGCTTTAGAAAATCTGCAAGAGGTGAAGTAACAATCTGGGGCAATGGCTCTGGCAATATCACTATTAACGGTCACGATATTACATATTTTGAAGATATGCATCATCGCGAACAGGTGAGTCAATCTCGATATCTTAACCCTTTTAACGATCTTTTTATACATTGTATGTAACAATTTTTTAATACATTTTTAATATATATATAT